AGACTGTTATAAAAGTGATCTATCTCTGATTCCTGGCTACCATGAGATGAGCGGTTTTGTTGCAATGTATGCTCTCAACCATGATGTTTGACCTCTCCTCAGACCCAAAACAATGAGGATAAGTGATTATCTTCTGAAATCTATGAAACAGTAAGCCAAAATCAACCTTTTTTCTTTTAAAATTATTTATCTCAGATATTCTGCCACAGTGATGCAGAGTTGACTAACACAGATGGTTACTATTAATAGTTACACACACACACACACACACACACACAGTTATATTAATCTTCCTGTTATCTGCAGGTGGATTCCTGAACTTTATACATACTGTTTTTCTCTGTACTTACCCAGCTATGATAATCTGACATAGTAAGAACTGAACAATAAAAACTTCTAATAAAGCAGAAAGTAACACATGATAACAATATACTCCAAAAGAAAGTTATGTAACCATGGTCTTTCTCTCAAAATATCCTATTATACTATGTAAATCTTAGCAATCTACACATGTGATTTCTTCTTTTCTTATTAAGTTGAGCACGTTTACCTTTTCACTTAAGTGAAAGGAAATCACTTTATGTTTTCTCTTTGGCATATACAAATGGCTACTTTTAGGCTTTGGAAGTTATACTAAGTAAAATAAGTATTACTTGAACACAAGAAATGTCACACTGTGACAATTGATCTGATAACTGAGACAGCTACAAAGTGACTAATCTGTTAGTAGCATAGGCATCCTGACTGCACTATAGAAGGGAATGATTTGCATTTGGGGTAGGAGGGAGAAAGATGGTGGGCAGTGTTATCACTCCACCTGTAAAAGTACATAATTTAGAACTTGTGATTTGTTTATTCATGAAATTTTCCATTTAATATTTTCAGGCTGTGCTGGACCAAAGTTTATTACAGGTAACTAAAACCAAAGAAGCAAAATCACAAGTAATGGGGAATTACTGTATCTACATACTATTTATACATAAAATATCTTCATATTTTCATATATACCTGCACAACATTGGGACTAAATATAAATAAGAAAATATTGTTTTTGCAAAACATTTTTCTTCATAGAATACACTTTAATATTTTGATGTTAATACATTACTTTAAAACATTATTGGGTATGTCTAACTAACATCTGAGCATGTCTAAGTCACATCTTTAATGAGAAGGGAATTACTGTCTAGGGAAAGACTGCGGAATTGAGATTGAAAAACCACACTTAAGTTGCTTCTAAGTGGAAGAATGCCACAATGTAAATCATTTCCATCATTGTTAGAGTTCATTTTTCTTCTTCCTTCCTATCATTTTTTTTAATTTTAATTGAAATATCTATACTTTTTTAAGGGGTATAGTATTATAGTTCAATACATGCATATGAGGTATGATAATAAAATCAGGATAATTAGCATTTCCATCTCCTCATGAAATGATGTTGAATTTTATAGAATAATTTTTCCATCTCTATTGAGATAATTTTATTTACATTCAGTATGTTGATATACTGTATTTTATTTAAAGATTTATTCCTTTTTTGCAGTGCTGGGGAGGGAAGCCAGAGCCTTGTATATGGTAGGCAAGTGTCTCCCACTGAGCTACATTCCTAGCCCTGTATTATTTTTATTGATTTGCATATGTTGAAACATCCTTGCATCTATTGGATAAATATCATTTAATCATGATGTATAATTTTTGACATACTTATGGGTTTGCTTTGCTAGTATTTTGTTGTGATTTTATCCATATATGTCCACCAGGGATATTGGTCTATAGGTTTTTATTTTTTATTATGTCTTTGGTTTTGGTATCAGGGAAATCAATGTAGAATGAGTTCAGCAAAGTTCCTTCCTTTACAATAGTTTTGGGATAGTTTGAGGAAACTTAGTATTTATTCTTCTTTAAGTTTGATAGAATTCAACAGTAAAGCCACAAAGTCCAAGGCTAGATTTCTTTGTTCACAGAAATTTTTATTATAAATATAATCTCTTAGTTTGTTACTAAATTATTCAGATTTTCTGTTTATGAATGATTGGTACTTTTATGTCTCTAGGAATTTATTTGTTTCTTCTAGAATATTCAATTTGCTAGTGTGTAATTGTTCATGGTAGTATTGATGTGGTGTCAATTGTAAGGTCCAAACATTCATTTATTATTTCATTTGTATCTGCTCTCTTTTTATCTGATTTTAGCTACAGGCTTATAATTTTTTTTTTTTTTTGTCTTTAAAAATTACCATTGAGGGATGGGGATATAGCTCAGTTGGCAAAATGCTTGCCTCACATGCACCAATCCCTGGGTTCAATCCTCAGAAAAAAAAAAAAAAAAAAAAAAAACCTTTGAGATTTTTTTTTCTTTTCTATTATTTTTCTAGTTTCTATTTCATTCATTTCTGCTCCAATTGTTATTATTTCTTTTCTTTTTTTAACCTCAGGTTTAGTTGGTTCTTTATTTTCTAGTACCTTGAAAGATATAACATTAACTTGTTTATTCAAGATTATTTTTTCTTAATATAGGTAATGATCAGTAGCAACTACCCCTCTTAGATATGCTTTTGTACATTCCATGTTTCAGAAAATTGTGTTTCCATTTTAATCTAAACTATTTTTAAAACTTTTATTGTTATAGGCTTTAGAATTCATTTTGACATAATTATAAAGTCATGGAATATAATTTGCTCTAATTCAGTCCCCAGTACTTCCCCTTTCCCTCTTTTCCTCCCACCCCTGTTCCCTTCACTCTACTCTACTGATCTTTCTGTTATTCATCTATTTTTTTTAATAAATGTCCTGTGGGTATACATGATGATGAGATTCACTGGATATATTCATATATATATATATATATATATATATATATATATATATATATATATATATATATATATATAGAAAATTTAGATCAGATTCATTCCACTGTTCTTCCCTTTTCCTGTCCCTCCTTCTTCCTCTCAACCCCTTTCTCTACTCCACTGATCCTTTTTCTATTTTGAAGGGATTTAACCCCTCTCCCTTTATTTTGTTTTCCCTCTTTTTTCCTCCTTATTTTGTATTAGCTTCCACATATCAAAGAAAACATTTAGCCTTTGACTTCCTTGGTCTGGCTTATTTCACATAGCATGATAGTCTCCAACTCTATTCATTTACCAGCAAATGCCATAATTTTACTCTTTTGACGGCTGAGTAAATTTCACCTTTTTTTTTTTTTTTTGATGGCTGTTTTGTATATATACACCACATTTTCTTTATCCATTCATTTATTGAAGAGCACCTAAGTTGATTTTATAGCTTAGCTTTTGTAAATTGTGCTGCTATAAATGTTTATGTGTCTGCCTCCCTATAGATGCTGATTTTAGTTCTTTTGAATATATGCTGAGTAGGATAGTTGGGTTATGTGGTAGTTCCATTCCTAATTTTTTGAGAAATCTTTATTCTGCTTTCCAGAGCAATTGATTAAATTTGCATTCCACCAACATTGTATGAGTGTGCCTTTTACCTACATCCTCAAAGGCATTTATTGTTGTTTATGTTATTGATAACTGTCATTTTTTACTGAAGTAAGATGAAATCTCAATGTAGTTTTGATTTGCATTTCTGTAATTGCAAGAGATGTTGAACATTTCTTCAAATATTTGTAGGCCATTTATATTTCTTCTTTTCAGAAGTATTCGTTTAGTTCATTTGCCTACTTACTAATTGGCTTTTATTTTTATTTATTTAGAGTGTGTGAGTGTGTGTATGTGTGTGTTAAGGTTTCTGAATTCTTTATTCTGGATATCAATGCCCTCAGAAGCAGGTGGCAAAATTCTTCTCCATTCCATAGGCTCTCTGTTTGTGCTCATAATTGTTTCCTTTGCAAAACAGAACTTTTTTTTTAACTTGAAGCCATGCCACTTATTGTTGTTGTTGTTGTTTTATTTCTTGTGCTTTACAGATCTGACAGAAGTAAATTCCTCTGCCAATATGTTGGAGCGTTGGACCTACATTTTTTTCTAGAACTGCAGAATTTCTGGTGTAATTTCTAGGTCTTTTATTCACTTTGAGTTGAATTTTGTGCAGGTTGAGTGATCTGTTTTCATTCTTCTACTTATGGATATTCAGTTTTCTAGCACTATTTATCAAAAAGGTTATCTTTTCCCCAAAAAAACAGCATTGGCACTTTTGACCTTGTCTCTGTGTCTTCTCTTCTGTTCCATTGGTGTTCATGTCTCTTTTGGTGCCAGTACCATACTGGTTTTGTTACTGTAGCTCTGTAGTATAATTTGAGGTCAGATATTGTGATGTCTCCAGCATCACTCTTCTTGCTGAATATTGCTTTGGTTATTCTGGTATTAGAAAATACCAAAATATTTCAAAATACCAATTTCTACACTTATTTTTCCGAGTTAATTTTAAACCTTGTTTTTTATTTCTATGAAGAACATCATTAAGATTTTGATGGGGATTTTCATCAAATCTGTTTATTGCTTTTGGTAGTATCGCCATTTTGATAATGTTAATTTTGCCTATTCAAAAACACAAGAGATCTTTCCATCTTCTAAGGCCTTCAATTTCTTTCCGAGGTGTTCTGTAGTTTTCATTGTAGGGGTCCTTCACCTCCTTTATTAGATTCGTTCCCAAGTATTTTTTAAATGATTGTGAAAGAAATAGTTTTTCTAATTTCATTTTCAGCAGATCCATTACTGAAGTAGACAGAAGTGATTTATTTATATGTCTTGATCTTGTTGTGTCCCGCTACTTTACTAAATTTGCTACCAGCTTTAAAAGTCTTCTGATGAAATTTTTGAAGCATTCTAAATATAAAATGATGTCATCAGCAAACAGATAATTTGAGCCTAATCAACCCTAAAAGACTTCACTTTTTCATACTACCACATTGCCCACTAAGTTTTAGGACCTGGAATTTTTGAGATTATACTTTTGAACTACAGTGGCTTGTGTGCACTATTTCTTCATGGCTAGTGCTCATGACAAACCAGTTTCAAAGATATTACAAGTCTGTTCATTGATTTAGAAATTTATTAATTTATTAGTAAAATATGAACCAAAGAGGATGAATGTTTTTCCAGGAAGCATATGAAAAGGTGATTATGCTTTATGCTAGGGTACACAAACAAAAGGTCCATGAACTTTGAATTTCAAAATCATAAAATTGAGCATGTAAACATCCTTAGTAAAGTGATATTTATACTTAACAATTGGTAAATTGTGGCATTAGACAAAAGCTGATCTTTGTTTTTTTTTAATATAAGTCTTCTTTGGAAGACAACTCTAATAGATTGAAGAAAAAATTAAAATAGAAACAAGCATCACAATTTCTAACTTAAATTGATCTATGAATTTCAGATTATAAGTTTTTAAGAGCTTAATGAAGAATTCAAAGTGTACCTCAAACTTTTTTCAAAATCTGTGTGATTCCTAAATTTTCATTTTGATGTCCAAATAATGAAAGTTCAGATAAAGAGGTAAGTGTCTCAAAGATGACACAATTAAGAAAAGGTGTATGACAGAAACAAGAACACAGCTGTTTATGACAAGTATTAGCTTGGTTTGAACAAAGGTAACCTATGAGAAAATAAAAGGCCGCTATGGTAGAGAACAGAATAATCAAGGTTTTACTCTTCTCTATTTTCAGTATGTTTTTCTCAGAATCTAGTTTCATAGTATTTCTAAATGAAATCATATTTTACTCATTTACTAATACAATCAAGCTTAAAGAAAGAAACCACAAAGCCCTATTTCTTGCTCTCATAAAGATACACCAACTATATATCTAAAATAAAAACACTGGATTAGATAACAGTTTTCTATGAAAACCAAGTACAAGCACAGTGTTAAGTATAAATTGTACCTAAGAGATAACCTAATTGAATTCAGTATGTTTTAGGGAGGAAGAGGTTTTAGTAAAAACTGGCAAGAAAAATTCTGATGACATGATACACACACATAGACAGATTTTGATGTCTATATATACTTATTTATGGACACTTATAAAATAAAAACAAGAGGTAAAAATTTCCAGTCCTATATGCAATAGTATTTATTTTTTCTTAGCAATTATAAGACAAATCTTTTATGGATGCTTGAAGATTTTATTTTTATCTAACAGCTAAAACTTCTTATATGACTTAAAATTTTATCTTACAGCAACACCATAAAACCTCAGTCTAAAACCTCTTTCTTTATTGGTTCTTTTAGTTATATATTGGTTGGAATTCATCTTGACATAATTGTACAAGCATGAAAGAGATTTTGTTCTAATTCAAGCCCTATTTCCTCTCCTCCCCTTCCCTCTTCTACCCTCTGCTCCCTTCCCTCTATTATCTTTCTATAAGTTTCACTCTGACAAACTATAATTAGCTCAGAAATGTTTTATTAAAGAAATAAAAAGAATATGTAGAATAGAAAATAAAGCACTGGAACAAAAAACACAAATTTCATGTTAGTCTCCACATTCCATAAAAAAAGTAATAAGGGTGAATATTTTCAATATTTTTCTGTAAGAAAGGGTTTTTTTCTCTTTTTATTTATCATCATCGTCATCATCGTCATCATTATCATCATCATCGTCATCGTCATCATCGTCATCGTCATTGTCATCATCATCATCATCATCACTCGATTCTTCTTCATCGGTTTCATCATCATCATCATCATCATCATCATCATCATCTGTTTCATCATCCTCTTTTTTCTTATTCTTTTTATCATTTTCTAGAAGTTTAGAGGTAAAGAACATCTTATTTTATAGTCCCTATTTATAGGGAACAATGTGCTTAACCCTTTACTTCAGTCAGAATAAAGACTGAATAAAGCTCTTGCCTCTTTGTCTCCTACTACCCTTAAAGGTCCCATAGGTATTTTGAGCTATATATATAATATCTGAACATTGTCAGGTATTCAAATTTGGAATCAAAATTTTTCTGTTTTTATTTTTATTTTTTTGACACAATCACAGATTGTACATTATATGTCTGGGATTGAACCTCAGGTTTTTCAGACTCTAAGAGCAAAATTCTTTCCACTACAACAGGTAGATGAGTTTCGTGTTTGTATGTAACATAACTGCAAGAAGACAGTTTTTTCATTCGTTTGTTTTTAACACACAGTATTTTTATTTATTTTTATGTGGTGCTAAGGATCGAACCCAGTGCTTCATGCATTCAAAGCAAGCACTTTCCCACTGAGCTACAGCCCCAGCCCCCTAGAGTTTTTAAATTAGACAACAAACACACCCACAAGATACACTCATGAGAGTAAAATTCTTTCCCCTAATAGATTGGGCAATGCTTTATACTCTAACTAGATTTTGATCATCTCTTTAAAACACTTTTAGGAAGTATACTTTAATGGTTACAGGAATAACTTCTAGAATCAATCTGAAATGTGACATTTCTTAAGTTTACCCATTAAGAAAATTAATTTCTCTTAACCTTTGGTTTTCTTATCTAAAAAATAGACATAATATTTATAGCTCATAATAATTAGCAAGATTTTTGACAACTTTAAATCTTTTCTAATATTTATTAGATAAAATTTACATTTCATGTATAATTTTAATTACTTTGTTATCTTATTTAAGTATTTATAAAAGCTTATATGTGTTAGATATTTTTATGGACTCATACTTATGAATTTGAGTCCAAGCCAACTAATTTCAGAATATGTATATAAAGCAAGAGATTATTGGGTTATCGACTGTGTACTCACCTTCACTTAATATTCCTCTGAGCCCAGTTTTTGCAATGAGTATGATTCACTCTTATTGATACAGGATTGGCATAGGATTTTTCATTGTATTAGGCATTGTAACTAATCTATAGCTAATTAAAAATATACAGGAGTGTGGACCTAGGTCATATACAAATACTACCATTTTACAGAAGAAAAGAGGACTTGAGTATTTTGTTATCTGCAAAAGGTCCTGGAATCAATCCCCAGTATATACCAAAGGAAAATTGTAGTTTTATTTTGGAGAACATCATAATATCTGCAGTCCAAGCTGTATCAATTCATTTTGGTGACCAAAAGTCCAAATTACTTTTAAAATCCTATTTGAAAGTTAGTAATTTCTTTTTTACCTCAAAAGAGAATCCAGTTTTCAAATACAGTGCAGAAGAAAGATAACACTGGGAATTCCTGTTTAGTAGATCTTTACTTTGCTAACTAAAGTAGCCATCTCTTCTCTTCAAAACATTATCTTTGATGAGACAATATTCAATAATGCTCAGAAAATTCAGGGCAAATTTTCCAAAAGTACCATGAATGATCTATTAAACTGGAATTAGCATCATGATCTCAGGTAATGAAAAGTGCTTGGAGTAAAAGATTGTTCCTTCTCTGACTTTCAGATCTTCATTAGCAGGGGTTCTGTGAGACCCCTAGAACTCTGTTCTTAGTAGCTGGCAACATTCTTTCCTTCCAACATAGCCTCTTCACTACTGTTTTTAGCTAATCAGAGAAAATCTCAGTATTTTTATCCTTTATCCCTGAGTATTCTAGTTATATTAAGAAGAGAAAGTGAAAAGGGTATTTATCATCTAAATTCAATAGTTGTATAGCCTTGAATACTATGCCTGACTTCAACTGTCATTAGCAACCAATCTTTTTAAAAATATTTTTTAGTTGTCAATGGACCTTTATTTCATTTATATGTGGTGCTGAGAATCAAAAACAGTACCTCACACTTGCTAGGCAAGCACTTAACCACTGAGCTACAACCGCAGCCCCTCCAACCAATCTTACCCTAATCATAATGTCATAAATCCATCCTTCTCTAGTCTTCATTGTTTCCCCTTATTTTACATCTACACAACTCTTTATGAAACTACCATATCCCCCAAAACAAAGTTATTTCCATTGTTCTTATACAAGTCTTTATTATTTACTTAGTTACTGATGATTAACAGTGTGTACACCTATACAATTAACAGAAATAATAAAATTATTATTAAAAAAAACACATAACCTTGGGAATAATTTGTCACCTAAAATGAATAGTAATGACTTGAAAAACCTAGACTAATACTGTAGACATATTGTCAATATTTGGGGGGACAATGCTTACTAAATACGATGGGATATGAAAATAACTGCAGAGTTTTGGTGAGTAGGTGAAACTATGATTGAGATTTGAAGCTTTCTGATGGAACAGTAACAAAAGCAGTTAAAAGTCAAAGTTTTGACTCACCCTTGATATCATAAAGGAGCCTCTCAGCCACGTGTCTCTGGTGAATTTTTTTCAGGATTTTCATGGTAACCTTCACTGCATTCCATGACCCGTAATGGTTGACCAGGATTTCAGCAAGATCTTCATGATCGGAGACTTTCTTAATCTCCCCCCTAGGAATATTCTTAAGTTTTTTTTTTAGCTCGACATAAGTAAGTTTGCTCTTAAACTTCTTCAATTCTTCATCTACAAGTTCTTGAAGAGAATTTGCCAAGTGCTCACGTGCCATTTTGTACATCTTTGAAGACATTGATAAGTGTCTATTAAGGAATTAAAAGCCAGATAGGATAGCAAAGATTAGTTGCTGAAAGCTAGAACTTTTCTCAAATTATCGCTTTACATTTATAGTCACAGCTAAGAATCAAGGGTACATTAAGACTAGAAGAAAAATCCAAGCAGAGCAAATTAAGAACCAACAAAAGTAAGAAAAGCCATGATCTAAAAGGAAAATGTTAATTTGTATTCCATGAATGGAATCAACATACATGGAAAATATCCAAGAAGAGATTTAATCTAGAATATTAGCCAGAGACATATTAGGAATGAACATTATGTCTTAATAATATTGGGAAGTAGACACAACCAAAACACTAAAAAAAAAAAAAATCAAAAGATCACTACTAGCTTTAGAAAATATAAAGTATTAGAATGAGAAATATTCTTAAATAAAAATATAGCTTAAGCAGCATTCTCCTGAAGAGAGTCCCCATCTCTTCTAGCAGAAGTCAGGATGCCAAAAACTCAAATCGGTCCCCACATACTTCAAGTAAAACTTTCTATCTCTTGGGACTTCCCGACTCTATAGGCTCTCTATGTAAAAAGGAAAAATGATCCCCAGAGTTTGATGATACCTTGTCAAGATCCCTTTATCTTTCTTTAACTTTTCAAACCACTTCATTATCATTAATATTTGTTTTAAGCCTGTAATATCTTATCTTAATGTATCTTTTGTCTCTGTTCATGCTTATTATCACAAGAAGCTCATAAAACACTGTTCATCATGTAACTGGGCATCAATTTTCATACAGTTTGAACAGTCTCTTTTTTCTGTCTTTAAGTTTGATTTTGTTTGGGTATGGGTATCTGATTACTTACCACATTATTTTGTTCTTGAGCTTAACCTCCATAATGTTTCTACTATTATGTAGATGCAATAAAATGACATACTATCCAATTTGAGATAGATGGTACAAATGTAGGAGAAAGAGCAAAAAAGTTGTATTGCAAAGAAAGACTTGGAGGAAAAATTCCCTTTACTACATGATGAATGAAGGCTAAAAATAGTTGAGAGTTATTAAAGTCTAAAACCTACAATGTATGTATAATAAGATTTACACATCTTATATGTGATATAATTTATTTATAACTGTTTCTATGTTTCTAGAAGCTTCAAGATGGATATGAACCCTTAATCAAATATAGATAGAGAAAATATTTAGAATGCATGTGCATGTTTTATATTGTGATAAGAGCACTTTATGTGAAATCTACTCTTATAACAAACTTTTAGGTATACAATATAGTAACACTAACTATAGACATTAAGTTGTACAACATCTTACATAACTGAAACTTAGCATCCATTGAATAAAAATTTCCTGTCTTCCCTGCTTCTATTCTTGACATCTCTCATTCTACTCTCCATTTCTAAGAGTTGGGCTATTTTAGATTCCATATGTAAATGGAATCATTCAACATTATTCTCAATAATCAAAATGTGGAAGTAACCTAATGTCTATCAGTAGATTAATTGATAAAAAAATGTAGCATATACATAAAATGGAATATTATTCAGCCTTTAAAAAGAAGAAGACTGCCAAAGATGATAATATGGACATTATGTTAGGTGCTGCTACAACTTATATTAAAGTATCTAAAAATGGGATGTTTTACAATCAAAAGAAGAACAAAGTGATAGAATGTCATAAAATAAGTACAAGAAATTTACTCACCAAAAAAAAAAAGTCCTGAAACTTTCTTTCTGTAAGAAAGTGTTTCAGATTAGGTGCTGGTGTTTAGGAATTTCTCTCAGAGATCCTGACTGTGAGCAGCATTCCAAATTAACTGTGGACTTTGGGAAAACAGTCTTTATATAGTATTTTTAAAAAATTCTGATCTCATCTGATCTAAGCACTGATGCTCAAAATAAGATAAAATTCATTCCAAAGAAAGAAGAAAAACAAGGTATGGTATGGGAAAAAATAAAATTAAATCACTTCTGCCTGCAGGCAGAAGAGAGAATGAAGAAATCCATCAACTCATACTACTGATTACAGAATAATAAAGGTGGGTACAGAACCTGCCATTACACATTTGTTTGGGGGAGGATAAAGAAATATTCCAGGTATCTTTGAGATAAACATATATCAGATACTGGATGATAGTGGAAAAAACACGTAACAGATTCAGAAAACAAATTTATGAACAAAACAAATTTCTTATTTTTATGAGGCTTAATCTAACAGAGAAAAAAGTGAAGTTAAACAAAATAAATTTTGCAAATCATTATTGTAATCATAGGAACCAGGCCAAAGCAAGAGGATACTACAAGAGCCTCCACCAAAACTACAGTCAGAAAATATGGATTTAACTGTAATTATATTGCTTAAAATCTGGAAAACATTGACCAAAAACATGTCCTTCAAACCTATGGTAGCATTCATGATTAACACGGTGTCTCAGAATACTGCATTCACATATTTTTAGTTATATGTATACTCTCCCTAAAAGCAATCTTTAATCCACGAATTCACATAGAAAAAATGAAGTTGAGTCAAGTCTAAATGCCAATTATTTGAATCTTCAGTATGAAATCTGGCACTACTCCTAAGTCTCAGAAAATTACAATTTGTCAACAGCCAAAGAGTGCTAAGCCACCATATACTGGATGACTGAAAACAGATCTACTGCAACCAGCTGTGACACCTAGCCACAAAGGCCAGCAACTAATTGAGGAACACAAAGTTATTGTGTTACACAGTTGGGCTGCACAATCTCCAGCCCTCAACCCCAGAGCTAAAGCCAAAAGAAAGTATGCAGAATGCACACCCATCCCTACCAGCAGTCTTGACCACCCCAGTGGAAAGAAGCTTTTTTTTTCTTAGCAGTACTCTTTTTATTTTTTTTCATCTTTTTTTCTGCTCTTCTTTCTTTATTGTTTCCTTTTTTTCTTTTTTCCCTTTTTCCCCCACCATTCTTTGACTTTTCTTTTTCTTTTTCTTTTTTTTGTTTGTTTGTTTGTTTTTTGTTTTGGGTTTTTTTTTTTTTTTTTTTTTTTTTTTGTACCAGGGATTGAACTCAAGGGCACTAGACCTTAGCTCTATTTTGGATTTTACTTAGAAATAGGGTCTAACTGATTTGCTTAGCACTTCACTTTTGCTAAGGCTGGCTTTGACCACATGATCCTCCTGCCTCAGCCTCCTGAGCCACTAGGATTATAGGCATGTGCCACCATGCCTAGTTCAACTTTAAATTTTTTTAATTCATCTTCTTTCAAATTTTAACTTTTAAAAATTTTTATCCTAAACATCACTTCATCATATAGTATTAAAATTTTTCAATTTTTTCCATTATGTACAAATTTGTGGGCTTGAATGTGGGTGTGAGCGTATGTGAAGGCATATGTGTGTCCTCATGTCAATTAGGGCTACAGATGTCAATGGAGACACCAGACTATTATCTTAAATCAGCAGAATGGATAAAAAACAAGATCCAACCATATCTTATCTGTGAGAGACTTATCTCAAAGGTAAAACCCTCATAGGGTGAAGGTAAAAGGACAGAAAAAAAAATATTCCATGCAAACCAACCCTGAAATCAGAATAGAGTAACCATTTTCATATGAGCCATTACATCCTGGTAAAGAGAATAATCCAACAAGAAGAAACAATAATAATATATATATGTGTTCCAAATATTAACTCAATTACATTAAAAAAAAAGACTACTTGACATTAAATCCCAGACAGACCCCAATACAATAATATTAGGAGATTTTAACACACACTCATGAATAGACAGATCATCAAAGCATAAAATCAATAAAGATATATCCAACCTAAATAATTCTATAAGTTAAATGGACCTAATAGATAACTACAGAGCATTTCACTCCAAAACAGCCAAATTCTCTTCTTCTCAGCAGCTTATGAAACTTTCTCCAATATAGACTACACTCAAGGCTAAAATATAAATCTAAGTAAATACAAAAAAACTTCATGTAATCCCATGTATCATATCAGAACACAATGGAATGAAACTAGAATTCAACAACAAGAAAAATAATAAAAACCACATAAACACATGGCGATTAAACAATACTCTTTTAAATGAAGAATAAATCAAAGTAAAAGTGAGGGAAGAAATCAAGACATTCTCAGAAACAAATGAAAACAAGGGTATAACATATCAAAATTTCTAAGATAGTAAGAAAGCAGTAAAAAGATGAAATTTTACTGCATTGAGTGCATACATTAGAAATATAGAGAGATCCTAATTCAATAAACTTATTCTCCACTTCGAGGGCTTGTGAAAAGAACAAACTAATTTCAAAATCAGTGATAGTCAGGAGATATTAAAGATCAGAACCAAAATTAATGAAATAGACAATTTAGTTAAATACACAAGAATGCCAGAAGCAGTGGCACATGCCTGTAATCCCAGCAGCTCTGGAGGCTGAGATAGGAGGATCTCAAGTTCAAAGCCAGCGTCAGTGACAGTGAGGCACTAAGCAACTCAGTGAGATTCTTTCTTTACATAAAAAATACAAAATAGGGCTGGGGATATGGCTCAGTGGTCAAGTACTCCAGAGTTCAATCCCCAGTATCACAAAAATTAAAAAAAAAAAAGAAAGAAAAGAAAATGCACAAGATCAACACAACAAAGAGTTGTGTCTTCAAAAATATAAAGAAGATTGATAATCCCTTATCCAAACTAGCTAAAAGAAACAGAAGTCCCAAGTCAACTAAATTAGAGATGACATAGAAGATATCACCACAGACATTTCTGAATTCCAGAGGTTCATACAAAACTATTTTGAAAATTTATACTGCAATAAACAGCAAAACCAAGAAGACACTGACACATTTCTAGGCACATATAATCTGCCCAAAATAAATCAGAGATACAGAATACATAAAGAGACAAATTTTCAAGTAATGAAATTGAAACAACAAAAAGCCTTACCAACAAAGAAAAGCCCAGGATCAGAGGAATTCTCAGCAGAGTTCTACCAGACTTCTAAAAAAGAACTAACACCAGTCTCCCTCAAATTATCCCATAAAATTGTTAAGGTCGGGTGAGTGTCGGAGGAAGAGACCACCAAGAGACTGTCTCATGCAACAGCAGAGGGTTTATTGGGGGTCCAGCATGCTGGGGCTCAGAGCTCACTTCAGAGAAGCAGAGAGCCCCGAGAACAGCTTAAGCAGAGCTTATATACATTCTTTGGAGAGGGCAGGGACTTCACATACATCATAACAAATCATTGTACACCGCGGGAAAATCAAACAACAACTCTAAAACATGATTAGTTCATTCACTGGCGGGAACAAGTTGGGTAAGGGTGATTGGTCAGTACAAAAAGGGGTATACATTCAAACTGATTGGTTCAAGCCCTGAGGTATGTACGTAATGAGCTGCATGGTTTCTGGGAGGGGTTGTTTTCACAGAGCAACCAAATGGTCAGGAGAGATTTCTCAACATACATTTAGTGGTTTCTCCGGGAGTTGTTTTGACATCTACATAAATTTCAGGTTCCAGGAAAACAGAACTCAAACTCAACCAAGAAAACAAAACTTAACTTTTACATTCTTAACCTTTCATTTATTTAAAGGGAGGGAACATTACCAAATACATTCTATAAAGCTAATATAACCCTAATATTGAAACACATCTAAGAAAGCAAACTAGACACCAATATCCCTGATGAACATATATGACAAAAATCCTCAATAAAATACTAGCAAATCACAACTAAAAGCAACTAAGAAGATAATGCACCATAATCAAGGGAGCTTTATTCCAGGGATACAGGGCTATTTTAACAAATTTATTGCAAACAAACAAATGTAATTCATCACTTAAACAGAATCAAGAAAAGAATCATCTCATCATCTCAATAGTTACAGAAAAGGCTTTTGATAAAATACAGCAACGATTCATGTTAAAAAATTTGGAGAAACTAAGAATAGAAGAAATTTACCTCAACATTATTAAGGTAATATATGACAAACCCGAACCCCAAATCATACTAAATAGAGAAGAACTGAAAGCTTTCCCTCTAAAATCAGGGACAAGACAAGGATGATCCACTCTCACCACTTCAATTCAATATAATTCCCAAAACTAACCAAGAAAACAGGCAAAAGAAGGAAATTAAAGGGATACAAATGAGGAAAGAGGAAGTCAAGCTATCACCATTTGCTGATGGCATGATTCTGCATCTAGAAGACCAAAAAAATTCCACCAGAAGACTTTCAGAGCTAATAAATGAATTTAGTAAAGTAGCAGAATACAAGATCAAAACTCATAAATCAATAGCTTTTCTGTACTCTAACAGTGATTCAACTGAAAAAGAAATAAACATCCCCTTCATAATAACTTCAAATGTTATGCTCTAATTCGGAACCCCCAAAGTCCACCAGAGACCCAAAATCGATGTAAGCAGCAAAGAGGTGTTTATTGCAAGCTAGCCCGGTCCTCCGTGCGCACACACACAGCAACTGGTGACACTGATAGGCCCCGAGCCCAGGGTTTGCAGCAGTTTTATACATTTTTTGGAGAGGGCAGGGACTTCACATACAACATAGCCTCTTTTAGCAAATCATCACACAACACGGGAAAATCAAATAACAACTCTAAAACATGATTAGCACATTCACTGGCGGGAACAAGTTGGGGAGGGGTGATTGGTCAGTACAAAAGGGGTACTCGTTTGAACTGATTGGTTTGAGCCAAGAGGGGTGTACAAGCTGAACTACATGGTTTCCCAACTTGTTATCAACCACCATAAACTACTGTGAGGGTCATCTGGCATCCCAGGTATTTCCCTGTCTCATGCTGATTGGTGGCTGCTAGGGGGCTGCTATGGATCCCCACCTAGCCTGACTGAGTCAGGGACATCTGGCGCAGCAGCTCTCTCCTGTTATTTGTAGTTAAACAACTTAGCAGGGTGGGAATGTGCTTAGGAGTGCTCTGTGGGTTTTTCCAAGGACAAAGTTCATGTCCCTTCCTTGGACAGGCTTTGCTCTGAGGTAGAGACTGGTTTTTCAAAAAATATCTGAGAATTAATCTAACCAAGTAAGTGAAAGAATTCTACAAAGAATACTATAGAATGCTCAGGAAAGAATTTGAAGACCTCAGAAGATGGAAAGACCACCTATGTTCTTGGATAGATGGAATTAATACTGTCAAAATGGCCTTATTACCAAAAGTAATTTACATATTCAATGCAAACCCCATCAAAATACCAATAACATTCTTCACAGAACTAGAAAAATTGGCCTTTAAATTCATTGAAAAGAATAAGAGACCTAGAATAGCCAAAACAATTCTGAACAAGAAAATAATACAGAACTAACAAAATACCTGACCTCAAATTGTACTACAGAGCTATAGTAACAAAAACAGAATGGTACTAGCATCAAAGTGCACATGAGGACCAATGAAATAGAATAGAAGACACCATCACAAACCCAAATACTTATCGCCATCAATGTGTGTTTAGATAAAGAAAAAGATATGGAATTTTGAAAGCAAGAATTAAGGACAAGCAGTCGGTGTAGATAGGTAATCAGTGTAGACAGGTCAAACTGCAAAAATGGAGGAGGGTTTGAGTCTGGGAAGTTACTGGGAGATCGGAATGTTAATGTGTCCAAAGCCCTTTGATTACCAAAATTACCTGCCCATACTGCTGCTCCCAGAAAGTTGTTAATGAAGCACCCCCTGAGCAGACAGTCAGCTGCTAATTAATGCCCCCTGGGTTGCAGCTCCATTTCAGCCTGGATTAGTCCACCTTGTCCCTTCCAGCCCACCTGCTTCTCACCTTTTGGGCATCTCATTGACATATTCTGGACCTAGTCATGTACACAGGAAGGAGACAGAGAGGGGGGAAGAGGGCAGGAGAGAAAAAAAAAAGTCTAAAATATAAAATGGGCAGGACACTCTCATTTCTTGGGATACAAGAATAGTAGCTATGTCCTCTTCTCCCTCCTGGGAGAAGTCTATGTTACTATTTTTTTTTAAAAAAAAACCTGCTTTCTATGCTTACCTCAGCTGTTTCTTTAATGTCCAGACTTCAACATTTGAGGAAGCAGAACTCTTTACTAATAACGGGCAGTATCATTACCACAGACTCTTGAGTAATGTGTTACTCTACAGTGTTATAATCATCACAGTGTTACTAGATGAAGGAAATTGTTTAGCTCCATTATAATTTTCAGGACCACCAGCATGTATGTGTCCATTATTGACTAAAATGTAGATAGGTGGCAAAAGACTATATTATAATATATATAAACTACCCTTACTTATTTGGCCATGAAGTATGGATCATTTTATTGTGCTACTAAATTTATTTTACTAATATTTTGTTGTTAAGGATTTTGTATCTATGTTCATTTGAGATGTTGGTATGTATGTTAGTTTTTAATTGTTGTAACAGAAATACCTGACAAGAACACCTTAGAGGAGGAATTGTTTATTCTAGTTCACAGTTCCAGAAGTTTCAGTCCATAGATAGCCCATTCCATTGTTCTGGACCCAAGGTGAGGCAGAACATTATGGCAGGGGGACATGGGAAGGATCACAGCCCTATTTGTGGCATACAGGAAGCAGAGAGAGAGAGAAAGTGGAGAAGAGGTCACAGGTGTTACTCAAAGCTTGGTCCTTGTCCCCAACACCAATTTATGCCAATTTAATAATGAGAACATGGTTTGAAGGAAAAAGAAAAAGAATGTTGATTGCCTTGCTAGCAAAGGAGAAACACTGGGACTGTCCAGAGGCTGCGGTTCTGCCCTTCAGGAGGAACAAGAATTTAAAGGAACTCTTCATGAGTAGAGGGTCCCAGGGCACCCTGATGGGGTATTAGATCTTCACTTCTCAGATCCTCAGGCAGATATCTCCTTCCTGTGGTGGGTGTGCTAGAGGACAATTAACTAGGAGACTGAAGGATAACATTGTCTCCGTAAACTTGTTAGGGAGGGGGAGAAAAGATAAGAGAGCAAAAAAAAATATGCCCTATAAAAAATAAGCCTCAGAGAAATTAGGGCTATATTCAAAAGGTGAAGTGGACCACTGTTACATGGGGAATATTCACCCTTCCAGGGCATACCCCAAGACCCACTTCCTTTAGCATTCCCCACCTATCTAAAGTTATTTCCCAGTCCATTCAAAATAGAATGGACTGATTAGGTTACAACTCTCACAATCCAATCATTTCTTCTCTGAATATTTTTGCATTAGTATTGGAAAATTTAGGGGTACTTTATATTCAAATCCTAACACTTTGTAATTTTATTTTCTTGTAAGGTCCTTGTCTGACCTTGGTATCAGGATAATGTGTTTTAGTCAGTTTTCCATTGTAAAACAAAATACTTGATAAAATCAACTTAAAGAAGGAAAGATTGATTTGGCATCATGATTTCAGGGTTTTCAGTTCATGGTCACTTGACTCTATTGTTTCTGGGCCCATCATGAGGCAAAACCTCATGATGGGAATCATGTTGTTATCACAGATTACCAGTGAGGAGTTCTGCTTCCCAGTTGCTAAAGTTGGAACACCAGCGAAGTTCTGAGGCAAGCATAGAAAGCAAGTTTTATTTAAAGAATAGCAACACAGATTTCTCCCAGGAGGAAGAAGAGGGCCATAGCTGGTATCCAAAAAGGGGGGAGTGTCCTGTCCCTTTTATACATTTTAGATTCTTTTTATTCTCCTGCCCTCTTCCCCATTATCTTTCCCCATCCTGTTTGTGTGACTGTAATGCCAGACTCCTGGGACCCCAGTAGACCTCCAGGAGCCGAATCTGATGCAATCACACAAGAGTCTTTATTGCAAGCTTGAGCCTGGACTCACAATTGTTTTTTTTGTTTGTTTGTTTGTTTGTTTTTGATGCAGCAGTCCTGGTCCTTTGTTCAGTGAGATTTTATAGGTTTTTGAGGATACTCTATGCATCACAACATCACACAGCAAATCATTTCACACCACGGAAAAAATCAAACAAACAACAACTCTTAACCTTGATTAGTACATTCATTGGCAGGAACAAGTTAGGTAGGGGTGATTGGTTACTACAACAGGGGATTCATTTGAACTGATTGATTTAATCTGTGAGGGGTGTAGGTGCTAAACTACATGGTTTCCTAACATGTCATCAATCACTGAGACTACTGTG